GGGGACGTGGTTGGGTGACGCGCGTGACGACAAGCTTAGGTCACAATCCGCCGCCCTCCGGCTACGGCGCTTCGGGGTTCGAGTCTGAGGGGGCAGGGGGGTGAGTCAGGGGGCTCACCATTTATAAATAACCAATAATTGTGTGGGGAATCTCCGACACGTGTCGTCTTTAAAACCGTTGGCTCGTCAAGGGGTTTAGGTTGGGTAAGGACCATCAGCGCCGTCCGATTCATTTATTGGGTGGCTGCTATCATGTCACCGAGACTAGGAGTTGTACTGCTTATTAAAGTCGTATCATTTTTACTGTCGCTTGGTTAACGCTCTGTTTGGATGTACTCTTCATGTTTTGAGTTTTGACCTCTTCATCATCCTACTCCCCCCCTAATTATTTCACCAGGTTTTGTTTGAGTATCTGTATTATGCCCGTCTCTTGATTGCCAATTTACTGACTCACTCTTGCGTCTATGTTTTACTTTATTGAAATTATTTCAAATAATTTCGTCTTATATGAAATAAATATGCAAGTAGCCAACATCATATGCGTGTGTGTGTCAGCATCTATCTAAGCATGGCAAATGTTGGAAGAAAAGAGATTTTTTTTTTCTTTACTGGGTTTGTTTGGATTGCCGTTTATAACGGCAAAAATATTTTGAAAATTGTAAAACCGAGGTTACAAATTGAGTTGGACAAAAAATATTGTCTGACTGGACTAACTTTTCTAACAAACTTCTGGCCTTCAATTTCGGTTGGACTCAATAGAGAAAAATATGACTTTTTAAACTGCAATTTCAAATAGTGATCATTAAAAATAAACATTCCATATTTACTCTCACATTTTCCCCTATGCTCCATCTCTTTTGTTAGCATGATGAGCTTTTATTCAGACCAAATGAATTTTAATTTATATTCATGTTTGTCCATTATATATATTTAATTAATATCTACAATGTGTTTTCAAATTTTTCTCCGTAACAAATCTTTTTATTTTATAATTTCACAAATAAATTATTTATATTTTATCATAATAATTTATGTATTTTTTTAAAACTATTATCATATTAAAAACATAAAATTTCAAACATTACTATTCAATAAAGTACATATTATTTTCAGTCATTTTACATCTAAACTAACTTTTCTATTAATCATCCAAACAACTTTTAACCTTTTTAACTGACTTTTTAGAAGTATCTATCCAAACACACCCTAAATGACTTTTATTCTAACTTCAATTACAAAATTTAATTGGGCTAGAAGTCAATTTCGTCAAACGTCAATCCAAATATATCCCAAAACGTGCTGAAATGTCGGGAATTTTTTTTTTGGTTGGGTAAAAGCCGAGAACCAATTCTTAAAACTTGCTTTTAACTTTCGAACAGAATCATGCCGACGTGATAAGGGCCCGAATGAGGTTCGAATTGAATGGACAAGGGCCTTCAGTTATTTTCTGATGGCCCAAATTCATCCATACCGTCCTCAAAACCATTTTTTAAAAAATCATTTATTAACTATTTTTTAAAATGCGAGAGTGTACGATAGTAGTATTATTTTCTTGAAAAAAAAAACATAAGTGTTAAATTTTACGCTGTAAGGTACTTGTATTTTCAATTCAAAACTTTGACAATAAATTTCTTACATTTTTAAATTTAAAGACGTAATTAGTTAATTCGAGAAACCTCATACTTAATTAAAATGAGATTTTTTTTAGTACTACGAGATAAAACTTGTTTTAGATAAACTAATTTAGACATATACAAAGTTATTTATACAAAAATAAAGTATCAATTGTCAGTAAATACTACATTTTGTACCAACAACTTTGAGATTTAGTTGACTAATTTAAAAAGATTACTTAATATATAATCATTTTGAAATATTTATATGCCATTCTCAGATTATATAATTTAAAAAACCAATAAACATAAATAATTTAAAGTAATTTTTTTAGTTTTCTCAATTTTTTTAAATTAATAAATTGATTCTTATATTACAACAAGAGGTAGGAAATTTTTTTTTTGGCCTGGTAGTAGTAGTTTATAAACTTGATTTAGCATAAATCATATTTTGATATATATATTATAAGTGACAATAAATAAAATTTATGACAATACATAATCAAGTTTCTTGAATAAAATATATTTTGTGTGTGTTATACTACAAAATAATGTGATTTTTAATTTAACTTTATATCACAGATTGGGCATACTATTGATTTTTGATGATACAATAATGATCCAATTTCCAAATAATAAACATTTAACAAAAAAAAACATTTAACAAACACCAATTTTCAAAGAATATATCCATACTTCAGGTAAAAAAAAAGAATATATTTATAGAATATATTCATACGAAGTCTCATAAATAGTACGTAGTTATAGTTCCACACAATAAAAACGTAGGTACTAAGGGTCGGTGTTGGATGCGAGACGCTTGAAAAGGCGAGAGGAGAGCCGAGGAGTAGCAGAGAAATTCGTTCCCAACCTCCACAGTCAAGCTCGTTCATCTTCCTCTCTAGGGTTTCATTTTATCCTCTGATTTTCGTTCGTATGGCTACAACCACTGGGCCAAGACGACAGCAGCACGGCAATGCGAGACCTGCACTGAGAAAGCCCGTGTTCGTCAAGGTAGACCAGCTCAAGCCTGGTACCAGCGGCCACACTCTTATTGTCAAGGTTCTCGACTCCAACACTGTCTTGCAGAAAGGTCGTTCTGCTTCTCAGCATCTCCGCCACACTCGAGTCTCTGAATGCCTCGTCGGGGACGAGACTGGTTGCATTCTTTTCACTGCCCGTAATGAACAAGGTACACCTGGCTGTTTGCTTCTTTGGTTTTATTGATTTGTTAATTGTTAATTACTATTAAGTTTGTCTCGAGGGAAATCGAGCAGAAAAGATAAAAATGGTGTTATTTTTTATGTTTCTCAATTTGTGCGGCAATCAGTGTTGAGGAAACATATTCATGTGATCTTTAATGTTTTTTTTTTTTTGCTTCCCACTTCTTTTTGTGATCTTATTTTTCGTCGTTACTCTCATTGTGCGTCGTTTTTTTTTTGGTGGAAATGTGTGTCGTATTTTCATTTGAAGTTTTTAATGAATAAATATATATATTTTTTTGTCTTGGTTCATCTCGTGGTTCATTGTGAAAGCTTTGGGCTGGGGCTGTCCAGCTCAGGTTCAAGATGACGAATCGATATTTTAACTTTTTGGTTCTCATTCCTCATGTCAATATGTCAAAATCGTTTTTCGATTCTCGAATTAAGGTTTGCTTTTTCTTAGTGGTCTAGTGATGCGCTTAGTTTTAAATGAATTAAACTATCTTGAATTTTTCTTAACCTAAATATAGTGCTGATCGTGTTTAGCTGAATATCATCATTCACATCATCAACAGTGTGGCAACTGATCTAATTTTTTGTAACTGTAAGAAATTCCAGGTGCCAATAATGGCCCTGATGAGTATTTTTAGTCTATTAACGTATTGTGCATATTAGTGTTAATTTTCTCAGTTCGTGGTTTTTAATCATGAATAGATGCATTTACATAATATAAGCAATCGAGTTTGTTTGACGCCTTTGCGATCTTTCAATATCCAAACATAAATTATCAGTTGTATTCCTCTGAATTACCATGCCCGGTTCTGTTGCTATCATTCTGAACATAGGGTTGAAAGGCTTATGATAGAACCTGTTGGAAACGTTGCTGTAATATTGGCATAGTGGATATATTATCTGATCTTGTACAAATCATTTTCATTAGTTTGCATGTGGGTACCCTGGCTTCAAGTTTTGGTTCCCTGATAGTCCTTATGCACTGCAAATGACTTGTTTTATCAGTTTTATGGTTACAAGCATTCTTTTTTAACATGAGGATCAAATGCAATTCACAATCGAGGAAATGAGTCATAAAGATGATAAAACTGATAAGCTTGGCTCATACTATGCCGTCTTGTGATGAAATTTTGAAGAATAATGTTGGTATCTTTGCTGTTTTAGTATTCATCAGTTTAGTTCATAGGTAGGCTGGCAATTCACCCTTTTTTTTTTTAAGATCTACAAATCATTAAGCATATATTCTGATTATATGATTTAATACTGTTAAGTGCTAAGATCATGTTTACTTGCTTCCTATATTCAGTTGATACTATGAGACCTGGCGCCACCGTTATTCTCCGGAATGCTAAGATCGATATGTTCAAGGGATCTATGAGGCTAGCAGTTGACAAATGGGGCCGTATTGAGGTCACTGAGCCTGCAGAATTTCTGGTCAAGGAAGATAACAATCTGTCGTTGGTTGAGTATGAGCTCGTAAACGTGGAGGAGTAACTACGCTTCTTTTGGCAGCTGGCATAACATCATAACAGCAACTTAGTTTTTGATGGACACTGGTGGTTTATTTGGTCTCCTGGTATCTTGCTCTTTCCTCGCACGGAACTTTTGTCTCAAGGAAGAATTTCTATCAGGGATCAACCTATCTTTTGTATTTTAATGGGATAGCCTAGAGTTAGATTTTACCTGGGGGTGTAGGCAAAATCAGCTTCTGGACTGTCAGTATGGTTTGTTCTGTAGTCATGTAAACATGTTAGTTATTGATAATAGTATGTGCAAATTTACATATTCAAATTTCTGCTTTCCTCCTCCCAACCTTTCCTTGTTTGCCTTAATTACAAATTGCAGTTGATGGCAGGGAGTACCAATTATTATACAATTACTGATCACTGATTGCTGATAACAATTTAATTGAAGTCATGAAAGCACTTACGGAACTTGCGCAATTGCAGATTCTTGCTAGTAAAAAGATATTAATTGATAAAATTCAGTGACAAAATTTGAATCTTGTGTAGGTTATGTTGCATTTGTATCGTGAATTATTTTTTACTGCCCTAGGAATGGCCCTTGACGTTAATTTAATGCAACAACCTTCATAGCGCCATCTCTGGTTGAGAAAAGTTGAACCTTAGTCAATGCTCATATCTGAGTTAATTCAGCGATCACACTCACATACTCATATAGAACTCAGGATTTCAACAGCATTTCTACAGGTTTGGTTTGAGGCTACAGTGCCAGCCAAGACCTGTTGTGGCACAGGCAATTCTGGAGTTCGTTCGAACAGCTTCAAACAGTAAATGACTGAAGCCTTTATAGCACTGTCATAGTGACCCTCTGAACATAGTGAGCAACAGGTGGAAACTGTTTCTGTGCTAGAAGTGAATGCTGAGTACAATCATGAAGGATTCTCTTTGACTCGCACTTGCATTCTGAAGAAGCTTGAATGTCTTCGCAGAAAGGTTGTGTCCCTCTCTGCGCAAGCAATGGCTATGAGGGCCAGCCCTTGGCCATTTGCTGACTTGCTGCTAGGATCTGCTTGAACGCACTCTCTGCAAATTACTGGCTCTTCTGTTTTGCTGCACAGTGTGCTGATCAAACTCTCATCTGATGTCGCCATGGCCAGGCCGTTGAGGTTGTGGTACGAGAAGAGTAGGAAGAAGATCAGAAGATGGTCGGAGCTGGAATCCATTTTGAATTAGAATAATCTTTGATGGTTTTTCAAGGTTATATGAAGGTACCAATTTTTGATCTGTTACGACCCTCAGGATTACTTCCTTGATTTAAATTGGGCTAAGATAAAAAGATAAGGAATCTTCTATAAATACATGTATTGCAGATAATAGCATAGCAATATTGCGGCAGCGGTGCCTACTGTAATTCCTAAAGATATTTAGCAGTAAGGTTGAGGTTGTGGTACGAGAAGAGTAGGAAGAAGATCAGAAGATGGTCGGAGCTGGAATCCATTTTGAATTAGAATAATCTTTGATGGTTTTTCAAGGTTATATGAAGGTACCAATTTTTGATCTGTTACGTCCCTCAGGATTACTTCCTTGATTTAAATGGGCTAAGATAAAAAGATAAGGAATCTTCTATAAATACATGTATTGCAGATAATACCATAGCAATATGCGGCAGCGGTGCCTACTGTAATTCCTAAAGATATTTAGCAGTAAGGTTGTTGGAAATTTTGGATTTTGTTGGATTTTAGTAATCGACAATGACGATGGCCTCTTGCTTTCATTGGGGCATAAGAAACGGACAGACACAAATCTGGACAAGGAGAGAAACAAACTAACTGAAAAACCAGGAAAAAAAACAACAGAAAACAGCTATATGCCTAAGCAACACAGATCAGCTTCCTGAAAAAGATCAAATATTTCAAATTGTTCAGTCACTCCATATTTTCGTTGTGTACGTGTGGGAAAGGAGAAGATTCTTCACAAAGATGGGGATTTTAAGCCATTTTATTTTTATCCCCGATTCTTTTTCCCCTAAACCAATATACTCGTATGTGCACTTTCAAAAAAAAAAAAAAAGAATTATACCTGACACACTTGAATTGGGTGCAGTGAAATAAAATATGTGGCCACTGACAATGACGCATTTTGATTTTATTGATAACCGGTTCATTCAATAATTTATACGCATTTTTTCGGTAAGATAAAATGAACTCTTAAATCCACGTTACAATTTTACGAAGGAAAATATGATGATTGATGGACACATTATTCCCAAAGGTTAATGATAAAATAAGATGGATAATTAAATAGTCGAAACATTGTTATTATCTTTTCCTGATAATTAAACAATTAGAAATGAGAGTTAAACCAACACATGATTTGAAAAATGAGCCGCATGATGTACGCTTTAGAAAACAATGTTATGTATGTGTGTGTGTGTGTGTGTGTGTGTGTGTGTGTCGAATTGATATTAATATTGATTTGGATATCATGCTGTGTAATTATACTGCGATTATTGTACTGATTCCTTGTAGATATTTTTGATAAAGCACAAAACGATAATTGATGACAGGCTTGCTTGAACGTAAATTTAGCCATGGGAATTCTCGAAGTCAAACTCGTTTTTTTCTCCTTTGGCACATGTGGATGCTTGCGGAAGACTGAAAGTGGAGGGTTGAAAAGAGAATGGTTTTGGTGACCAAAAAGTTCATTCCTGTTGAAGCTTGACTCTACAGTTTTATTCCATTTCGACCCCACAAAACTGTAGTGGACTCTTTAATGTTATCGTCATTATCATTACTCGCAAGAAAAGTCTTTGATGGCCTGCTAGTGCACCAGACTGCAGTTGTTCTGCGCTTTGATATTTCCTCTCTTTTGGCTATAAAACTTTGTGGGATCTCCAACTGCTGAACACCAATCTTTCAGTTCAAAAGAGAAAGGTTTTCTAACTTCTGTGAATTCATCCTGGGAAAGGGATACTTCTGGAGATCTTAATTCATCAGTAATTAAGTTGGTCTGTTTCCAGAAAGGGCTTTGAATTCTACAGAAACAAAAGCAGCAGATAAGAGAGAATCAACAGAGGGGAGAACTATGGGAGAGTGTGAATGCAGACCACTAGGGTTCTTGATAGGTCTACCTTTTGCCCTTGCTTCCTTGCTTTTATCTTTGGTCGGTGCAGTTATTTGGATCATTGGGTAAGTTTTCTCTCCTAATATTCTTTTCCATTTTACAGGATTTTTTTTTTGAATTTATCAACATATATTACTACGATTAAATGATCCTATTTGATATCTATGACAGGTCTGTATTGAGTTGCCTGTGCCCTTGTTGTATATGCTTTGCAGCATTAGCAAATTTCGCAATGGGACTTATCAAACTTCCAATCCAAGTGATGCAATGGTTTATTGATAAGATTCCTTGTTGATGTTCACTGATGACTCGATGCAAATCTCTCATATTTATTGAATACAGATAATCTAACTTAATTTCTATCTATTTTTTTTCCCCCAAATTGTTGATGAGGTTTTTCTTAAATTTTGTTCATTTTTAATTCTCTCTTGCACTCTTCATTTCATTGTTATATCCACTTAAGATTTATATTAGACAATATCAGAACTAGCTTGCGTTCACCTCGTAATTGGTCTCTCAGCTGAGCTGGTGGGACTTGGTTCTAATTCTTTCTTATTCCCACCGACAAATGCTAACGTTTCAAGTGGATAAGACATCACATATTATAATTTCTGATGGAAACCAGAGAAGATCATCGTAATGACTATTCGCACGTTGACTTACAAATTGACTGGATAAAGTGCATGCATTTAGGATAAGAAGAAAGGCACATCTGATCTTAAGCAGATTCAGTGAAGGGATTGCAATATTACATCACTGCTTGAATATTGAAACACTTTTTGTTTTTGATCAAGGGCTGATCTCCAAATAATTTACTACTGTACAAGGATGCATGAACTATATTGCCTCAACAACCAAGTTGTGATGCAAGGGTGGGCAACGTTGTCACCCTCCTAACGACATAACATAAAGTCCATGATGTAACCACTCTGAAGTATAATTAATTCAGAATCTCCTTATGGAATTAAGATAATGTAGCATGAAGTTTTACTTGCATCAATGGAACAACTGAAGTTTCTGCATCGTATCTTGTCTCTTGCTGGTGGTTTTGCAGGCTTGTGAGATATGTCAGCTGATGTTCTTTTTGAGTCCGCCTCTTAAGTACAAAACTATTATGAGAAATAATGATCTCTATTATGATCTTTTAGACTCTGCAGATTAACAATTAAGTTGCCCTAAACTTCAACCTCGTTTTGTGTTTCCAAAAAAAAAAAAAAAAGAAGAAGCTGATTTCACAGTTACGTGATGTTTGATAGTGAAAGTGGTAGGACCAGTTGGATGACAAGTTCATGCACAATCCACAACTTAAGCAGCCCAGCCTACGCATAGTAATCTTATTTTAATGCACCAAAAGTCTCTTTGCTCAGTTTACCTCTGATGTCTGATGTCTGAAAGCTTATAAAACAACATAGCCTTCCAACCATCTCTCATCAAAAACATACTCAAAATTCAATCTTCACAGCCTCCAACAAACAATGGATAATTTCTTCTTGTCATTCCAACACCAGAAACACCCAGAGAAGCTCAATAAAAAGAGGCTGACTGAAGATCAAGCGGCCATCCTAGAGAAAAGCTTTGCCTGCAGAAAGAAGTTGGAGCCAGAGCAGAAATTGCAGCTCTCAAAACAACTGGGTGTGCCTCCGAGACAAATTGCAGTATGGTACCAGAATAAGCGAGCTCGCTGGAAGACACAGAGTCTTGAGGAGGACTATGGTGCCTTGCAGTTGAAGCTAGAGAATCTCATGGCAGAGAAGAAACAGCTTGAGAGAGATGTGGAAAGGCTCAAGGCCGAGCTGAAGGAGGCCAAAGAGATGTTGCTCTTCATGAAAGGTGAAGCAGAAGCTAAAACTCACAGTTCTTTCGCTGAGTTTTCATATAATTGTGAAGAGGTTATGCAGGTTGAAGAGCTTTATGCTTGTTTCATGGGTCCCAATAAGTTCCTCTGAAATTAAAGTTCCATAGGACGCATCACTCGATGCTTATTAGACTTCCTTTCTTATCGTACTTAGTAGAAGAATCAAACCTTGTGTTGACAGAAAGATAATATCGGTCTGTTCATTTGGTCATGGAATTGTGGGGTCTCCAAAAGTTACTCCATTTTTTCCTGTAAGGGGTATGCATATTGCATAAGCCTGGAAATAAAAATGACCTCCTGGCTACTGAAGGCAGCTCATGATCTTTGTAAAATCCAAAATTTCATGAATCAATACGACGGCTTATTGCATCAGTAATCTCATTTCTACGGGGACTTGTACGCATATAAATACACAGAATTAGAGTACAGTAAATGGAGAAAAATTTTGGGTTGAGAGGTTAACTTGCTCCGGTCATTTGTATGTCCAGCCATTTTGTTTCTTTGAAGAAGTGCTTATTAAAATAAAAAGAACGGAATCTGAAATTAAATGCTGTGCACTAGATAGATAAATAATACTCCTTCAATATCAAAGACCTAATTATTGAGTTGATTTTGATACTAAATATAAAGTTTATTTTTTATATTTATTAGTTCTTCCTAAATTACCCTTATGGATATTCCCTCAATTATAATCAAGTAAAAAAGAGAGTAAGGATATTAAGGAAGATCATTATGGTGTTTTAAGAAAAACATGTCATATTTTTTTATAATTAACTAACTTACCTAACTTTTTTAATCTAATCAAATTAGTTAGACAGGTCTTATAATAAAGATAGAAGGAGTAATATTGTACATATTTTATTTTTTTTGGTACAAAATTTGCAATATTTTAAACTACATGTTTTAATATGGTAAATTATTTTTCGGGGCCACTGAAAATACCGTTTTCGTAAATATCACGAGGGGCGAGCGGGGCCACGATTTAATGATTTACTGAAGCGCTCGCGCTCCCTCCAAAATTCCATTCCACTCGGAGCGGGCAAGGGTAGGTGATCGGAGAGCCATGGCGTCGAGCTCACATGCCAGTGGCGTTAGTGGAAGAATAAGAAATGCTGCTTCGACTTGCTGCTCGGATAATCTGTCTCTCATTACTGTAACTTCCCCTCTCGTTCAACCTTTGTTTAATTCCTTTTTCCCTTGATTGCGGATGCGGAATGCTTGTTCAACTCTGAGAAGCTGATTTTCCTTTGCCTTTTCCCATTCTCAAAGTGGAAAATATATCATCTCTTGATCCCGTTATCTTACGGAATACGGAATTAGTTTCTTGACTGAGTGGTTTCTTGCTTGCTAAGAGCTCAAGTTTTCTTTTCGAAAGCGCATGCTTTTGATCGTTTCTGTTGTAAAACCCTCAATTTACTATGTTAGTGACACTTGCATTGGAATTCTTGTCCGAAAAATTCCTAAATGTGGAAAATATCTCCCCCTTCGGAAGCTGAGATCAGTGAGCAAAGATTGCTTCTGTAAAGGAAGATAGTTCATTACGATGTTTCCTTCTTAATTTTTCCCAACGAAGTTTTGGCTTTCATTTGCTGGGTTGTGCTTGATTCGGTGGCATCCTGTGTTATTTTTTCAGGATACCCGAAGGATTATTGGTTTGGTGAAGGAAATTGCAGTTGATTTGGAGAAAGATAAGCAGTCTGATATGGTACTCTAAATATCATTTCTTTGTATTTAATCTCATTGTTTCCTTTTCCCCCTGCTTTCTTGTTTGACAATGATGCCAGGAGAGAAGCATGAAAGTCTGAAATTAATACTGCCATTACTGAACTATTTGGTTCTTACAAATGATTATGTGGAGAGAATTTATTCATTTTCTAATGATAAAGAATCTTTCTGTTACTGAATTGTGATTCAAAGATGATGGAAGATCAAGCATTTCTGCGTTATTTACATATGATAATTGTAAAATATTTTAGGTGAAGGAGCTTGAAGATGCAGTTGTGGAGTTATTGGACAAATCTGAAGATTTTGCACATTTTTCATCTGCGATTCAGTCTGTTGCTGACAGATACCAGCCAGGAGAAGAGGTTTTTGGTCTGCATTTAAGTTCTTTGTTTGTCTGATGACGTCTTGTCTTCTAACCCCCTCTTTTCTGCAAAACCTTGTTTATTGATTTTCGATATGCAGTTGACTGATTTTAAGAAGTTGTTCGAGGAGGATGCTTCAAAGGTAAAGGCCAATTCATCTTCAGATCCGAAAAGGAATCCCTTAATGCGCCAATTTAAGGAAGCTGTTTGGGTATGTTACTCAACAGTCTTAAATATAATACTCCCTCCGTTCCTTATTATAAGAGACAAATAACCGAAGTGCGTTGATCAAAAAAACAATTAAAATTAGTTAAGAACAATTAATGTGTAAAAAGTATAACTTTTTTCCAAAAATGCCCTCATTAATAAGGAGAGAGAGCATGAGAGAGAATAATTAAATTATTAAAAGAAAGAGAAGTGGGAGGGAGAGAGAGTGTGAGTTGGAGATAATAATATGGGTAAAATAGTAAATCAACACAAAAAAGTAGAGACAACTTGTAAGTGTCTCTTATATATAGGAACATGCCATAAGCATCAAATGTCTCTTATAATAAGGAACGGAGGGAGTAGTTCATATATTTCTGAGGCTATAGGATTTTCCTGTTTGAAGTTCATGCCATAAAATGATTAATAGAAATGGAGTTGAAAAGTTGGAAAACCTACCACTTATCTAAAATTTAGATTTTTTTTTTTTTTAATTCTAGCATAGATTTTAACTGCCTGTCTATGGTGATATTCAAGTGCTGCCTCTGATAAGTATATTTTTCTTGCAATGACATTGATTGTCATTGTTGTTGTACTGGGCTGAGTGCCTCGGTCAATAGTAGGACTTTTCAACTTTATGTCATGAATGTAATCTGCTGTGGATGTTTCTGTGTAAACTGTTATATGATTATCTTGGTAATTAGGAAAGTTGTTTGTGGCACATATGCAATAATGTCAGACTACTGGTACTCAAACTTTTATTCTATTGGGCTGTTATTAAGCTGAATTCCTGCGGGTATCTAATTTATATGCCTTTTGTGTTTTGCGTTAGAATGTTCATCATGAGGGCCAGCCAATGCCTGGTGAGGAGCAGGAAGACATTGTGATGACCAGCACACAATCTAATATTTTGAATACGAAATGTCCAATTACTGGGAAGCATGTCACTGACCTTGTGGAACCTGTTCGAAGGTACCATATGATCAAATTCAAAGCATATGTTTCCCTTAATAATTAAATAGCATAAAATGCATGCATGTGTATGCACCTCTTCATTTGATTGGTTGAGGGTGGATAGATAGATGAACTTTAACCTGCATATGGTGGGAGCAAATTGACTGCGTCATGTCAACTGGACAAGCATGATGTTTAGTCACGCCGGCTCTGTTCTCTGTGTGCTCGGCAGCACATTTACCTTTCAGGAAAGTGCTCGTTGGCACAGTTAAGTAGGGCTTCGTGTTGACTCAAATTTCAAGCAGACATTGGGGTATTATAAGAATCGATCCTGCTGCTACATAACATATGAATCACCTATATTTCGAGGGACCTCCATTGCCTCTATCCTTTTTCCCACTATGCTCCTACATTCCCTCACAAATCCCACATTTTCTAAATTGGTAAAAGTCAAGTCCCTTGCATGTTGAAAGTCCAGAAGAATTCCTGGATATTTATAAACCTAGAAGTCCCTAAGTTGTATCTGTTGGAGAGTACATGCCTTGGAGATGAAAGGAGGCTTCATGGTGAGGGATAGAGTTATATTACCATGTCTCCTGCTTCTCCTTGATAGTAACATTGCTGTGAAATAAAGTTTGTGAAATGGTGAAATTAGTGTTTTTGAACTATCAACGACCAAACATTTTGTCCTCAAGGGCTTAGGCGTGGATGCACATTGATATATATTTTATATGCAGCTTACAATTTTCTTTTTATTTCTGCTCCATCTATGCATCAACGCAGTATGGAGTGTAGGCATGTATATGAGAAGCAGGCAATAATGCAATTTATGCGATCAAAGCACTCTCGTGTTCCATGCCCAGCAACAGGTAGATCATTGAATTCTGGTAGCCTCCATGTTCTATGCTGCCCTGCAAAAACCAAAATTTGTTCTTTTTGTCAGGTTGCCCAAAGTTCTTAAAGGTAGATAAGGTGGTCTCCGATCCGTTGTTACTGGTTGAGATTGATGAAATGCGCAGAATGGGAAAAGGACCTGGTTCAGTTGAAGATTTTACCGGGCTAGATGATGATGAGTGACTGATGAAACTAATCACAGAATTTTTATTGTGAATTTTGATAGAGTTAAACCTCCAGCTCCACCAGGATACGTGCTTATCACTTCTGTTGTTGATATGTGTGTGTGTGTGTGTGAGATCTGTACAATCAGGAATTAGCGTGATAGTCTCCGCATTCTAGACTGTTGTTTGAAGTTGCTGCGACTTGCGAATCTGCAACATGCAAAGGCCAATCATGAGTGACGGTTCCTTAGTGCATACACTTGAAGATCATTGGTAAACAACTCCATCGCGTAGTGGGGATGACACTTTAATATCGCACATAATGATCATCAACCTGTGACTAGATTTGCCATTTTCACAAAGCTACTAACATTTAATAATTTATCTTGGATGACATGGAAAATCGACTTTTGCACTATGACTATAATTTATACACGTACACAGAAGATCTAAATGAGTCGTGCTAATTTTAGTTTGGGAGCTGTTCAATTCTTTTTACTTTTTTATATTTTATAACACTCCATGGAATGTAATCAATAAAGAAGTGTTTAACTTATAAATAACTTTTATAATGCATGCTTGCTTATTTTGAGCCACTTTTGAATGTTAAATAACTGTAGTATTAATATAGAATGACGTCCAACGTTACACAAATTAGATCCATCATCCATGGTTGATGTGTTTGAGGTTTTTTTTTTGTTTTATCTTTTTTGTGTTTTTTTTTCTGGGGGGGGGTGGTGTTGTCAATAGAACTTAATAACTAGTTCTTTGTTATACATGCCAATAGCGTGTTAAACTAGATACTTCCCAAGCAATGCTCGAGCGAGATTAGTTTTTTTGTAATATTAATTATACCAATTTTTTAACATTTAAATCTTGTCGAAATTCATGAAAAACGTAAATGAAGGAAAAATTGCATGCAATTCAACATATATATGAAGATCACAAGATTAATAAAAAACAATGAACTAAGAAGGATAAGAATGAATAATGTGACTTACAAGGTTTAGGAGGAGTTTGTGAACCACACAAGAGCCACTTTAAAAAAAATATTTCTATGTAAGTTGAAATAA